CAATTCTTCTGTACTTGCTTCTCTCCTTTACTTCTGTTCTTTATTTCCCACCTTCCTCAATATTTTATGCATTCCAACTTATCAAACTCTTAGTAATTTAGCCTTTAATGTAAACAGCTGCATTATGAAAGTAGCAGCGGTCCAGTATATTAGTTGCTGATGGCAAAAGCAAGATTTAAGCCAAGAGAGAGGGGGGGGTAGCAGAGCCAATTAGTGTCAAATGACTTAACCTAATTTTTATCCACCATTTTCCATTTGGTCACTTTTCCAAAGCAAAAATCAAATTAAAAATCAAATTAGACTGTAGGGCCTCTCTGCATTGTACATCAAGAGAAAATTTATAATGCATTTTATTTTGGGGGACCACAGGTTCTACAGATTGGTTGTGCAGAAATACAAAACATAAAATAATTTTGTTCTTTGAACTGTTTAACCAGATAGAGTGAAACTAAGCTATCACTGCCCTCTGCTGGATATAGAAAGTACTGCCTGTCTGTACTTTTATAAGAGTTATTATTAAAGTTTATAGCTAATTAGTTGGGTGATTATTCAAAATAATTGTCTGGAATTCTGCCTTTTAGCTATTGCATATGGCATAATGCTGAAGTGATTGTAAAAAGTATACAAAATTTCCTTTTTTAGGACAAAGGTCTCATCAGTCTAGTACAATGTTATCCAGTCTGATGACTTCCTGATGTGTTGGATTGTGAACTAGTGTCTTACATAGAAGTCCAACGTCCACCTTTACTATTTGTATAAATAATTCAAGGAGGCAAACATATCTAACTTTTTCTCCTATTTTCCCCACAACAACCACCCTGAGTGGTCACTGGCCACTCTCACTCGGCCAGTTTTCATGCCTAAGGCGCAATTGGAACTCACAATCTCCTGGATTCTAGACTGGTGCCTTAACCACTTTATTATACTGGCTCTCAACACATCAGGAAGGCACCAATGTAAAAATGGGTGGTTTGTAGCCTTATACATGTGGGGTCTGCATTTTCCAACCCTGCAATCAGCACAGATGGGTAGGGGATGGCTAAAAAAACAATATAGTATATGAAATCTTCCAACCAAAGCCCCACTCGTTTTCATGTCACATGTGAATTTCATGTAAAAGACAATAGTTCCATCCACTATCTTTTTTAATAGAAGACTTTTAATAAAAGACTTTTAATAAAACAGTCTTTCCATTTTATTTCTTCTTTCCCATTTAGCCATAATAAATTTAATATCTAAGTTTAAACCATGTTTGGAACATTTAAGAATCTTATAAAACCCCAGGGCCCCACAGGGGCCACCGTGTAGACCTAAAACATTTGGTAGCATTTCTTTTTTGTCAAGGTTGGGACTACTTTAAACTTCATTTTGTCACAAAACTCCTTTCCAGGTGAAAATAAAACATGTAGAATCTTAAGAGAGGAGGGGGGAGGAGGGGGGAGGAGAAAGAAGGGAGGGAGGGAGAGAAAAAAGGAAGGAAGGAAAAGAAAGAAAGGAAGGAAGGAAAGAAAGAAAGAAAGAAAGAAAGAAAGAAAGAAAGAAAGAAAGAAAGAAAGAAAGAAAAAAGAAAAGGTCCTCATAACATGAATTCCTTGGTAGAATTTATGCCTACTCACTCTAATAATGTCTCATCTCCAATCATGTCTCCTATGACTTCTATAAATTAGTGGTATGTCTAGGTAGAAAAAAGATGTGCCCATTTTAAACACAATTTCTTCAGTCTTTTTGCATCACTACCTTAGTATATAATAGAACCATCATTAAAAAGGCACAACAAAGAATGTTCTTCCTGCGTCAACTCAGGAAGTTCAGAATGCCCCAGGAGCTGTTGATTCAGTTTTACAGAGGAAATATTGAGCCTGTCATTTGTACTTCTATAATTGTTTGGTTTGGTACAGAAACCAAACAGAAAAAGTACAAACTCCAGTGAATAGTTAAGATTGCAGAAAGAATAATTGCAACCAGCCTGCCTCCCATAGAAGATCTATATATTGCTCCGGTCAGAAGGAGGACTGAGAACGTATATGCAAACCCCTCACATCCCGGACATAAACTGTTTCAACTCCTCCCCTCGGGATGCTACTATAGGGCATTGAATGCCAAAACAATTAAACACAGGGACAGTTGTGTCATCACTCTTCTGAACGCTAATTCCCAGGCCTGCCTTATGTCCAAGTATATTTACTCATATAGAAGGGCTGCATTATTATTATCTTTCTTGTCTTCTCTATTACCTTCTCTGATTGATATCATTAACATGATTATTACTACTCTGCTGTTTTTCATGTATCCTGAGAGCATCTGCATCAAAGACAAACTCCTTGTCTTTCTAATCACACTTGGCCAAATAAAGTATTCTATTCTATTCTGCTTAGTCTCCTTATTCTTTCAAAGTTACAACAGCACTGAAAAAAGTGACTTATGACCATTTTTCCCACTTACAATGGTTGCAGCATCCCCGGGGTCATGTGATCAAAATTCAAATGCTTGGCAACTGACTCATATGTATGACAGTTGCAGTGTCCTGGGGTCATGTGACCATCTGACAAGTAAAGTCAATGGGGAAGCCAGATTCACTTAACAACTGCAGTGATTCACTCAACAACTGTGGCAGGAAATGTCATAAAATGGAATAAAATTCACTTAACAACTGTCTCGCTTAGCAGCAGAAATCGTGGGCTCAGCTTTGGTCATAAGTAGAGGATTACCTGTACTTTCCTTTATACAAATTCCCTCTTTTCAATCCATGATTCATTCTGTATCTTTTCCTAGGTTGTCTTTTTTGGGGGGAGGGGGTGGCTGTCTGTCCTTTGGCTTCCAATATAATTCAGGTGTAAGATTTTTGTCCCACCTCTTACCCACTCCTTTCTTCAGCTTCTACTTTAACAGGAATGCAGAAAAATCAGTAGTAAAAATAATATTTGCCTGAAGTACACATTTGAAAATGCAGCATAGTCAAAAGCAAGGACATACCACTATGAAACATACTATATGTATACACTTAAGGAGAACAGAATTATACTTGGCATCTGCATTATTATACAATTAAAACATGGCAAACACAGATTTGTTAGTTGTGAAAAAAGTGTGACTGCACCAACGCTTTCTCCCTAGCTTAGTATTTTGAGTCCTATGAGCTGCACTATTAAAACCTCACATTTCTTGGCTCTAAAAGAGAATCCAGTTACCTTACAATTTCACATTTGTGGATGGAGCCGTGAAACTCCACTTGTATCAAAGATGAATAACTGGAGTGTATAAGAAAATAAGCCAAAATTTATAAATGAATTTACCACATTTAACCTTTTCAAGAATATGAATGAAGCATTTCTCTATACTAATATCTATTTTCACAGAACCATACAGTTCTGAAATAAAATAAAGTGACTGTACTTGAATTTATTGAACATATTGCCTGCAAGCTATGATTAAATTATTCCCATTGACATTGAGTCTTTATTGATTAAGCCTTGGGCCATATCGAAGTGCAAAGTTCCAGAGACAAATTATTACTAAAATTTGATAAAAGCAATTTAAAATGGAATTGGAATAAAATACAGTCTAAAATGAAATTGGAATAGAAAACAATATTTAAGATATAGATAAAATATGATAAAATTATATTTCGGTGTCACCCCTGCAATCTACCTCAATCAGTCCCAAATACGCAGATCTCAACCGAACCATTTTGTTTACTGTGCTGTGTTAAATGTTATTTTCCACTTCTGGCCACACATAAAGTAAGTTGTTTTGATATGGAGATCCCAATGGGTCATTTGTTTGGTATACAGACCAAGGTACCTGTCTCTCACCCCTTTATACAAGCAACAATCAAATAAGATGTGAGCCAGGTCTGATTAACTTCAGATATTGCTTACAGTTATAGAACAAGGACCTTCTAACATCCACACTAGAATGCAAAACTAGGTTTGTCAGGAGCTGAACTTCATTTCAACTTTATTTTCCTACACAATTTCTATACATTTCAATACAATAATACAATAGCAGAGTTGGAAGGGACCTTGGAGGTCTTCTAGTCCAATCCACTGCTTAGGCAGGAAACCCTATACCATTTCAGACAAATGGTTATCCAAAATCTTCTTAAAGACTTCCAGTGTTGGGGCATTCACAACTTCTGGAGGCAAGATATTCGACTGATTAATTTTTGATCCACTGATTAACTCATAACATTTATTTTTCATTGCAGTTATTATTGGACTTGTATTCTTTCTTTGCATCTGTTTGAGAATTAAGGTTATTTAAAACCAAAAGAAATAAAACATGTGAGGTGTGTAGGACTAATGTAATTAAAATCCAACATAGTCATCAAACAGTAAAATGAATTAATTAAAATTGATATGCAGCCTAGGAATG